TCTCCCTCGCACACACCTGGGGCGCACACCCTGGCCCACCTGGCCCCACCGGAACCAAGCCCATTGCCTGGCATGTCCTCCCCACTTCCTGCTGTCTCTCTTCTTGTCCACACATTCTGGGGGCTGGCCTAGGTCTTGACAGGTGGGGCCACTTGGTGAGGCCCATGTGGGGAGGGTGCCAGCCCGCCCTCCACTGCTGCCCCTCTAGCCGCATGGCTCAGGGTGGCAGATGGCCGGGCAGCTGGCCAGGTCCTTGGAACGGGGTGGAGGGCTGGGTACCCACAGGGGCCAAGCCTGTGTCCAGAAGCCCCTCCCCCGGCAGCCTGCACAATCTTGGGGTGGGGGCCGGCCATGGTGGGGTGACACGCCCCTCCCGGCCAAGAACAGCCAAAGGAGACGGGGAGGACACATCTCGATGAAGTTCAAGAACGGCAAAATGTGCCAGAAGTGAGGTCTGCAAGGGCCCAAGGCAGGGGCTGGGGGGACTGAACGCAGGGGCTCCCCCAGGTGACAGCTCCTCAAGCTGTCCACTGACGTCTATGCAACTGACTGAAATCAGTTTCCTTAAGCTCCAGCAAGCCCCACATCCCCCCAGGCTCCAGCCCATCAGGGAGGTGGCCCCACTGACCGGGGACCCCCTGAGGCTGGTGTCCAAGGAGGAGGAGCGGTGCCTCAGAGCAGCCAGGGAGCAGCCAGGGGGCAGGGCCTCGGATGGCGAGGTGCGGCCGGGCCCCCGGGCATCTCCCCTGCCCCCAGCCCCGCTTAGTGGTTGAGGTCACACCTCTCTGCCCCAGACAGAACTCCCAGGGCCCCCGACCAACTGCTGCCACCAACTCCCTAATGGGAGTGGGACGATTCAGAAACGGATGCTCATGCAGGACTGACATCTTGTGGCATCCTGACCCTTGACCTGACCAGGACGGCCAAGGACCCCTGCTTCGGGCTGCCCACCCACCCCAGCTCGGGGTCCCCAGGCAGCAGGACTCCCACTGCCCTGCCCCACGCTGTTGCAGGAAGAAACCGGAGCCAGAACACACAGACGCTCTCAGCACCTCCAGAAGGCTTGGGCCAAGAGGAGTCACGGGGTCTGAGGTCTGCAGGCCCCCGGCCCTGCGCCGTGACCTCCGGCAGGGCACCCTGCACGTGCCTGTTTCCCCGACTGCGGCGGGGCTGGGGGAGGTGTTCCCACAGCCCTGCACAGCCCTTTGCCAGCATCTTCCACCGGTCTCAGGGCGTCTTGCCCAGAGGCCAGCGACAGCAGACCAGGCCTCTGTGTGTAGCTCATCAAAGGGGAAAACCAAGGCCCCCCTGTGGTGCTGCTGGGGAAACTGAGGACCCCAGGAGGGCAGGACTTGCCCAGAAGCCTGGGCGGCAGGCAGGGCTCGACCCCCAGCCCAGCGACCCTGACCACACTGCAGGGGGAGGCGGAGCAGGGAGGGGCCCAGATGCAAGACCAGGAGGCGCGCCTGCCAGGGAAGCAGGGAGCCTGGCCCTCAGCTGGGCAGCACGGCTGAGGCCTGGGTGCAGCCCCCCGGCCAGGGGAGCCCAGAAGCACCTTCCCCTTTCAGAGCCAGCCCTGCCTCTGCCCAGGACCACCCCCAGACCAACAAGACCGCCCATGGGGCCACAGAAACTGCCCCTGGGGGAGCCCTGAGTACCCACCCAGAGCTGGAGAGGGGGAGGGAGAGCGCCCCAGGGGGCTGCTCAGCCCCCGCCCCTCCCCTGCTGGGCACCCCCGCCCCCGCGCATAGCCCTACTCACCAGGAGACACCCCTGACTCAAGGACCCTGGCCCTAAGCTGCCCACCACCCGTGCACGCCTGCGGGAGGCAGCTGTGTCCCCAGTGGGGCTGTTCCTGCCCCGTGAGGGCCCGGCTGCCGCAGGAGGGCGGGTGGAGGTCTAGGGGTCGGTGGGCACCGGGGCCTCTCCTGCCCGGGCGCCCCCTGCTGCCCGCCAGCACCTTCTTGGCTCCCTGTCTCAGGGAACCCGAGCTGCGATCCCTGGTGACAACGGGCAGGCGTGCTTCCTCTCCCGAGATGGGCCAATGACCCACAGGCCACGCAGGACCAGGCAGATCCACCCCAGGACAGATGGGTGATGCTTTCCAGCCCCACTGGTACCCGAGGCTGGAGGCCTCAACCCTGCCCTTCCAGTCCCCATCCAGAAGCCCCCAGGGAAAACCCCGCAAACAGGGCACACAGAGCCAATTAATTTCAGAGCCCGCCCCTCCCCCATCCTTAGCTGGGGGCGCTGCCCCCCAACTGGGGACGGAGGGGGAGGGGCAGGCTGGCGTTGCTGGAGGAGGTGAGCTTAGGCCCAGGAAGAGAGACCTGCCAGGCGTGCAGGTGCCCAATGGGGCCAGGTGTGGGTGACAGGGCCTTGCGGGAGATCTGCCTATGGACAATGGGGGCTCTGAGGTGACTCCTGAAGGAAAGGGGTGCCCGGCAGGGGCTGGGGGGCAGGAGGAAGCCACGGGGAGGTCACTGCATCTTGACCTCCAAGCAGGTCCACGGGCCGGAATCCTCACTCCCACTTTCCCTCAGTTCCTCCCAAGTGGGAAATGGGGGGGGGGGGGGGGGG